TGGATGGATGGATGGATGGATGGATGATGGATGGATGATGGATAAATGGATGGGTGGATGGATGGATGGATGGATGGATGGATGGATGGATGGATAATGGATGGGTGGATGGATGGATGGATGGATGGATGGATGGATGGATGGATGGATAAATGGATGGGTGGATGGATGGATGGATGGATGGATGGATGAGGATGGATGGATGGATGGATGGATGGATGGATGATGGATGGTGGATGGATGGATAATGGATGGATGGATGGATGGATGGATGGATGGATGGATGGATGGAGAAATGGATGGATGGATGGATGGATGGATGGATAAATGGATGGGTGGATGGATGGATGAATGGATGGATGGATGGATGGATGGATGGAGGGAGGGATGGATGATGGAATGGATGGATGGATGGATAAATGGATGATGGATGGATGGATGGATGGATGGATGGATGGATGGAAGGATGGGTGGATGGGTGGATGGATGGATGGATAAATGAGGGTGGATGGATGGATGGATGGATGGATGGATGGATGGATGGATGGATGGATGGAAGGATGGGTGGATGGATGGATAAATGGATGGGTGGATGGATGGATGGATGGATGGATGGATGGAAGGATGGATGGATGGATGGGATGGAAGGATGGGTGGATGGATGGATGGATAGATGGATGGATGGAGAAAGAACCAAGGGCTCTCGCCCACACAGGGCTGCTGCCAGTACATGGAGACTCCGAACCTTCCCTGTTCTTTAAACAAGTCCTGGCTGCTGCAAGTCACAGGGAAGGGAAGCAGCAGGCCGGCCGATGACAAGCTGTGCCATCCTGAAGCCTAAACAACAGGGCCATCTGGGTAGGGAATTATTTTTAAATGACTGAAATGTCTAATTAGCATGGTGTATGTCTTGTTCATGCTTGCACCCAGTGGGTGTTATATGAATATTTGAATACTTGATGACCGATTAATACAAATTGCTGGGGCCTGTCGTTGTTGAGAAGGATTCAAACCAGTTGCTTTTTTAAAAAGTATATATTACCCGGTCGGCAGGGCTCAGTGGTTGAACGTCGACCTAGGAACCAGGAGGTCACGGTTCGATTCCCAGTCAGGCCACAGGCCCGGGTTGCGGGCTCCTTCCCCAGTGTGGGGTGTGCAGAAGGCATCCGATCCATGGTTCTCTCCCATCATGGATGTTTCTATCTCTCTCCCTCCCTCTCCCTTCCTCTCTGAAATCAATAAAAAAATACTTTATACTACACACACACACACACACACACACACACACACACTAGAGCAGGGGTGGGCAAACTTTTTGACTCGAGGGCCACAATGGGTTCTTAAACTGGACCGGAGGGCCGGAACAAAAGCATGGATGGGGTGTTTGTGTGAACTAATATAAATTCAAAGAAAACATCATTACACAAAAGGGTACGGTCTTTTATTTCAATAGTTTTATTCATTTCAAACGGGCCAGATCCGGCCTGCGGGCCGTAGTTTGCCCACGGCTGCACTAGAGGTTCGGTGCACGAAATTTGAAATTTGTGCAGCTGGTGGGGGAGGGGGTCCCTCAGCCCAGCCTGCACCCTCTCCAATCCAGGACCCCTCAGGGGACATCCCTCTCGCAATCCGGGACCGCTGGCTCCTAACCGCTCACCTGCCTGCCTGCCTAATCGCCCCTAACCATCTCTGTCTGCTGACCTGATGCCCCTAACTGCTCCCCTGCCGGCCTGATCGCCCCTAACCACCTCCGCATCTGCCTCGGCCTTGCTACCGTGGCTTTGTCGGGAAGGACGTCCGGAAGATGTCCGGTCTAGTTAGCGTATTACCCTTTTATTAGTATATATATATATATTATTGACCCACACTCAACCACTGAGCCAACGCCAGCCAGGCCAACTGCTTTTTTTTTTTAAGGCTGCCACTATATGGGGAAAAAAGTAAAATAGGGTCAGAATAGGCTGAGGGCCATTATAGCATATCTCACATGTTTACCTTTAATGAAAGGCCCCGGTGACCTTCAAGGCCCCGGTGACCTTCAAGGCCCTGGTGACCTTCAAGGCCCTTTCAACCCCTAACAACGTGACCAAGAGCGCGGCTAGGACTCACCCGGACCCTCAGCTCCCTCTGTGAGGGCTCCGGGTGCCTGCGCTGCCCGCCTCGTGCCGCTAGAGGGCAGGCGGGAGGCGGGCGCAGCGGGCGGGGGTTTCACCGGAGCCTGCAGGCCCGGGTTCTGGGTTCTGATCCGAGCGCCCAGAACCGGGAGGGAGAAGCCAGCTTGGGAAGAGCCTGGAGTCCAGCGATGGCGAACCTTTTGAGCTCGGCGTGCCAGCATTTTGGAAAGCCCTAACTTAACTCTGGTGCCGGGTCACATAGAGACATTTTTGGATCTTTGCAACCAGAGTAAAATGAAGGCTTATATTTTTGATATTTATTTTATATATTTAAATGCCATTTAACACAGAAAAATCAAGCAAAAAAATGAGTTCAGGGGTCACCTCTGACACGGTGTCATGGGTTCGCCATCCCTGGCCTAGAACAACAAAATGCCGAAGGATCAGTTTGCGAGGTGGAAATTTACCCCCAGGATTTTTCTCTTTCTCAATCAGGGATGGATTTGGCCCTGGCCGGTTTGGCTCGGTGGATAGAGCGTCGGCCTGCAGACTGCAGGGTCCCGGGTTCGAATCCAGGTCAAGGGCACAGGCCCGGGTTGTGGACTCGATCCCCAGTGGGAGGCATGCAGGAGGCAGCCAATCCATGATTCTCTCTCTCCCTCTCCCTTCCTCTCTGAAATCAATAAAAATATATTTTAAAAAAATAATGGACGGGTTTGGAACTTGTCTTGGTCTGGGGAAGTGGGTAGAAAAATCAGCCCCGGTCATATTCCAAATGACTCTGCAGGTATTCCAACACCAATTTTGGGAAGAAAATCCACCTATTCTATCAAATTCAAGTGCCACCTTAACCACCACAGTTGCTTATGTTCTTATAACTTCGGGCTCTTTGTCTCTTACCCCATCGGGCAGTCATTTCTGGGCTGGCAACATGTGGGGGGTGTTATTTATTATTTTTTTAAGGTATGTGTTTATTGATTATTTTAGAGAGAGAGGAAGGGAGAGGGATAGAGAGATCGAAACTTCGATGATAGAGCAACGTTATCCATCGGCCACCTCCTGCACGCCCCCTACTGGGGGTGGAGCCCACAACCCCGGGCATGTGCCCTGACCGGGAATCGAACCCGGGACCTTTCAGTCCGCAGGCCGACGCTCCATCCACTGAGCCACACAGCCAGGGCCTCCATTCTACTTTGTATAAAACCTCTAGTCTCGCAGGCCAGGGTGGCTCAGCGGTTGAGCATGGACCTGTGAACCAGGAGGTCAGGGTTCGATTCCCAGTCAGGGCACAGGCCCAGGTTGCGGACTCGATCCCCAGTGGGAGGCGTGCAGGAGGCGGCCGATCCATGATGCTCTCTCATCATGGGTGTTTCTATCTCTCTCCTCCCTCTCCCTTCTTCTCTGAAATCAATACAAATATTTTTTTAAAATATATTTTATTGATTTTTTACAGAGAGGAAGGGAGAGGGATAGAGAATTAGAAACATCGATGAGAGAGAAACATCGATCGGCTGCCTCCTGCACATCTCCCACTGGGGATGTGCCCGCAACCCAGGTACATGCCCTTGACCAGAATCGAACCTGGGACCTTTCAGTCTGCAGGCCGACGCTCTATCCACTGAGCCAAACCGGTTTCGGCAATACAAATATTTTTTTTTTTAAAAAAAAGACAAAGTAGCACAGATGCCCTGGGCGGTGTGGCTCAGTGGATAGAGCGTCGGCCTGCGGACCAAAGGGACCTGGGTTCGATTCCGGTCAAGGGCACCAACCTGGGTTGCAGGCTCCTCCCCGGCGGGGGTCCTGGTCAGGGATCATCATGCAGGAGGCAACCCATCGATGTGTCTCCCTCTGTCTCTCCCTCTCTCTTCCACTCTCTCTAAAAATCAATGGGAAAATATCCTCGGGTGAGGATTAACCAAGGAAGGAAGGAAGAGAGAGAGAGAGAGAGAGAGAGAGAGAGAGAGAGAGAGAGAGAGAGAGAGAGAAAGAGAAAGGAAGGAAGAAAGAAAGAAAGAAAGAAAGAAAGAAAGAAAGAAAGAAAGAAAGAAAGAAAGAAAGAAAGGGATTTTTCATCCCCATTTCTAAGCGGGCGGTGAGCACAAGACCACCCTGACTGTGGCATGTCTCCGCTGCACGCAGCAATGGCTTTCCTCCTGCTTTCCGATTTTTCTTTAAATATATGTAATTTTTCTTTATATATAATAAAAGGTAATATGCTAATTAGACCAGACAACCTTCCGGATGAAGCCGGGGCTGCAAGGGAAGCTGGTGCCTGCAGCCGGGGGAGCGAAGATCTACTCTTGCACGGATTTTGTGCACCGGGCCTCTAGAGTGTGTGTGTGTGTGTGTGTGTGTGTGTGTGTGTGTGTGTGTGTGTGTATTGGTTTCCCAACTTCAGCATTTTTTTTTTTTTTTTTTTTTTTTGCCCCTTTCTGCACGGGCCAGGGTTTGCAGCGCCGCTTCCTGGCCTGGACCTCACTTCCGTGGACATGCCCGTGGGGTGATGGATGGGGCATGGGGAAGGCAGACGCACGGCGAGGGGTGTCTGCTCGCCCCTCCAGGAGGCCATCTGCAGGGGAGGCTCGTTGGAGGAGCCGCTCAGATGGCCCGCGCGCCCCCGCTGGGTCTGGCCCGCGCGCCCCGCCCGCCCGCCCGCCCGCGCGCCCCGGTGAACTTTCTCCCCCGGCGTTTCCGCTTGAACCCCATCCAGCCGCCTCGCCTTTAAAATGCCAGGCCGGCCGCCGGCTCGGCTCAGAGCCCCCTCGGCGTGCCCGGCCCTGCCTCGCCGGCGCCCGCACCCGCACCCGCACCCGCACCGCCCGGGCGCTGACTCAGCCGCAGCCCGGCCGCCGCGCGCCCCGCCGGGCCCGGCCGCGTCCCCTGCGCCCCCGGCCGCAGCCCTCCGCCAGGCCCCCCGGCGCGCGCGCACGGGACCCGCCTCGCCAGGTAAGGGGTGCGGGGGGCTCCCGGGACCCGCCTGCGGGCTGGGGCGCAGCATCGTGCGCGCTGGCGAGGGCGGGAGGCGCGCAGGGGGGTCCCGGGCCGCGCGGGCGAGACCCCTCCTGGGGGCGCAGCGCCGGGGGGCGCGCAGGGATCGGAGAGGGCCCGCCTGTCCCCTCAGCCCTGGGGGCCCCGGGGAGCCGGGGAGCCCCGCCGGCCCGCCCTGCAGCGGCCCGGGCTGTGCGGCTGGCGCGGGTCCCCACACCTGGGGGAGCGTGGTGCTGCGTTCGGGCATCGCCATCTCCTCTCCACTGGGGACCCGGGGCCATCCCGGCTCCAGGCGGGGGTCCTGGGCGCCGGTGCCACGGAGGCGGCTGCGCAGGGTGAGTTGTGTCGCTGAATCAAAGTTAAGAGATCGCCTCCAACTTCGGTGCCGGAGAGGCAGGGCCCTCCCTCCCGCGGCTACGGGAGCGGGACCAGGGGGTTTGCGGTTTTGCTCCGCGTAGCCCTGAAGGTCACGGTGGGTGTAACTTCGGGGGAAAGTTCTGGGGGGGCCTGGCCGGCCTTTTTCCATGTCAGGTCTCAGCGGGCGGCCCAAAGGCTGACATGGGCGGAGAGAGACGCAGAGCAGGGGTGTGGGTGGTAACTGGGGGGATGGGTTCTAGAACCGGATGTTCTAGGAGCTCCTACTGTGCGCAGGGCAAGTTCTGCAAGGGAGGGACCAGGTGGGCATCAGGCACCTTCTCACCAGATGCTCAGAAAGGTCAGTCACCCAGGTGAGGTGTCGGGCCTGCCCTCGCCCTAAGCCGCCTCCCTTTCTCTCTCTCTCTCTCTCTCTCTCTCTCTCTCTCTCTCTCTCTCTCTCTCTCTCTGCCTCACCCGAGGGTATTTTTCCATTGATTTGTAGACAGAGTGGAAGAGAGAGGGAGAGGCAGAGAGACACATCGATGGGTTGCCTCCTGCACCTGCAGACCAGGGCCTGGCCCAGGGAGGCGCCTGCCACCGAGGTCCGTGCCCTTGACCGGAATCGAACCCGGGACCCTTTGGTCTGCAGGCCGAGGCTCTACCCACTGAGCACACCGGCCGGGGCTCTGAAGCCGCCTGTTGACAAGAAACTGCAATCGCCTGAACTGTGGTCCTTGCAAACAGCAAGGCCTCCCGGGTGGTTTGCAAACAGGATTTAGATCGAGGCCCGTTTGCAGGGGTGGCTCGGCCTAGACACCCGCCGGCTGGGGGACGCGTGGGAAGGGAACCCGCACCCGCAGACAGGGGTCTGGGGGGGGGAGGCCTGTGCTGAGACCAGCAGCGCCCATTCATCCCCAAGACAAAGTGGGGGGCGGCTGCTGGCTTATCGGGTGCCACCTCTGCGTTCGTGTGCTCTCGGGGCCCAATGATTGCTTTCTCCGTCACTTCTTTTTTTAAAATATATATATTTCTTTATTGATGTCAGAGAGGAAGGGACAGGGAGAGAGAGAGAAACATCGATGATGAGAGAGAATCACGGGTCGGCCGCCTCCTGCACGCCCCCTTCTGGGGATCGAGCCCGCAACCCGGGCCTGTGCCCTTGACGGGAATCGAACCCGGGACCCTTCAGTCCGCAGGCCGACGCTCTATCCACTGAGCCACACCGGCCAGGGCTCAGTCACTTTTTCTAGTGGCTTTTTTTTTTATTTTAATTCCTGGACGAAATGTAAGTAATGAATTCGTGGCATTGAATGTGTCTGAATTCGTGGCATTGAATGTGTCTGAATTCGTGGCATTGAATGTGTGTGAATTCGTGGCATTGAATGTGTCTGAATTCGTGGCATTGAATGTGTCTGAATTCGTGGCATTGAATGTGTCTGAATTCGTGGCATTAAATGTGGCTCTGAATTCCAGTGGGCCTGGGAATCGATGGCCAACAGCTCTCGCCAGGAGATCTTTCCGACGTCCGTGTAAAATAAACACGATGATGGAGGGATAACGGTTTCTTTAAAAATAAAACAGCAGGAACCTTACGTAGCCTGGGAAATGGAAAACAACCCGGCTCCAAGAAGCCGACCGGCCGCTTGTAAGTCGCGATGGAGAGAGCGTGTTTATGGTTCCAGTTTATTTCCTTTACGGAGTTAAAAAAAAAAAAAAAAGGCAGCCGGTCTGAGTCTGCCGGCTGGTCTTTCTCCAGCAAATATTGACGCTGCCAGGCCGCACGGTCACAGCGCACTCAGAACCCGCAGTCCTGCCCGCCGGCGCGGCTCCGCGGCTGAGCGTCGACCTAGGAACCCGGAGGTCACGGGTTCGAATCCCGGGCAGGCCACGTGCCCGGGGGGCGGGCTGGATCCCCAGGGTGGGGCGCGCAGGAGGCAGCCGATCCGGGATGCCCTCTCACCGTGGACGTTTCTCTCTCTCCCTCCCTCTCCCTTCCTCGCTGACATCAGTACAAAGATATTAAAAACAAAATAAAACCAAAACCCAAACGCCTGCAGTGCTAAGGTGGCTTGTGGATAGCGTCTTTCCCATCCAACCCCGTGGCCGTGATTTAAATGGACAATGACATGGTCTCAAGGAACATCTCCTGAAATTATTCGTCTGGCCACAACAGAGAAACTGCTTACGAACTTGACGGCGTTCCAAGGCTCTTAGCGTAGTGTTTCTAGCAAGCGCCGACGGGGGGAGACCAGCATGTGGTGAGTTTTGGCATGGAAAGCGGTGGAACGGGTCCATGGCAGGAAAAATAATAATAATTTTTTTAAAAAAAAACCAAAGTTCACATTACAGTTTTCAGTGCGACGACCTTTCCGAACGCGGGTGAGTTGCCTGGGGAGGAAATATTCCTGAAGTGCGTCCGGGCCTTCCCGCACCCCGAGGGCCGGTGCCGGGAAGGGATGCGTTGGCGAGGCCGCAGGACCGGCCGGAGGGGCAGCGATCTCTCTCGCGTCCGGAGGGGAGGAGGAAACCTGGGTTCGCGGCCGGCGGTCGGCGTTCCGGGGGGCGCACTGAGTGGCCCTTGGAGATTCGGGTCTCCGCGTTGTTATTTATTTATTCTTTTGGGGGGAGTCAATCCTCCCCTGAGAATTTTTTTTTAATTTTTTTTATTGATGTCAGAGAGGAAGGGAGAGGGAGAGAGAGAGAGAAACATCCATGAGGAGAGAGAATCACGGATCGGCCGCCTCCTGCACGCCCCCCACTGGGGATCGAGCCCACAACCCGGGCAGGTGCCCTTGACCGGAATCGAACCCGGGACCCTTCAGTCCACAGGCTGATGCTGTATCCACTGAGCCACCCCAGCCAGGGCCCGAGGGTATTTTTCCCATTGATTTTCAGAGAGAGTGGAAAGGAGAGGGAGGGACGGACAGAGAGAGAAACATCGATGTGAGAGAGACCCATCGATCGGTTGCCTCCCACATGGGCCCTGACCAAGGCCGGGATGGAGCCTGCAACTGAGGTCCGTGCCCTCGGGCAGAATCGAACCCGCGATCCTTTGGTCCGCAGGCCGACACTCTAGCCACTGAGCCACACCAGCCAGGGCCAGATCTCTTATTTTTATTTTATTTTATTTTTTTTAAACAATTTCATTGATTTTAGAGAGGAAGGGAGAGGGATAGAGAGATAGAAACATCAATGATGAGAATCATTGATCGGCTGCCTCCCGCACGCCCCCCACTGGGAATCGGGCCTGCAACCCAGGCCTGTACCCTTGGCTGGAACTGAACCTGGGACCCTGCAGTCCGCAGGCCGACGCTCTATCCACTGAGCCACACCGGCCAGGGCCAGATCTCTTATTTTTAAAGTCCTTACTACATGCCAGGTGTTTTATAGATTTAAATGCCATTCCCAGAGTAACAATTATTTATTATTTTTTCCCAGAGTAACAATTATTATTTTTTTAACCAGAGGCCCGATGCATGAAAATTCGTGCAAGAGCAGGCCTTCCTTCCCCCGGCTGCCGGCACCGGCTTCCCTCTGGGACCCGGGACCCAGGCTGCTTCGCTCCGGCCCCAGCTTCGTCCGGAAGGACGCCCGGAAGGACGTTCGGTCTCATTAGCATATTACCGTTTTTTATGATAGATCCTCACCCGAGGACATGCTTAGAGAGAGGAAGGGAGAGCGAGAGACACATCAAGGCGCCAGCGAGGCATCGATCGGTTGCCTTCTGTACGCGCCCTGAGCGGGGCTCCAGCCTCCAACCCAGGCGTGTGCCCTGAGCGGGCATCGAACCGGCAACCTTTCGGTGCACAGGATGGCGCGCACCCAACCGAGCCCCTCTGGCTGGGCGGGGGTAGCAACGCTCACCCCCATTTTCCCGACGAGGAAGCTGGTGATGGGAGAAGCACCTTGAACGCCCCCAGGTCGGTTCGGGGTCGGAGAGCAGGCCTGTGCCAAACGGGGGTCGGGTTTTTGTTGTCGGTGCTAACCCTCAATGGAGCATATTTTCCCGTTGATGTTTACAGAGGGAGGGAGGGAGGGAGGGAGCCACAGAGAGAAACATCGACTGAGAGGGACACATCCATGGGTTGCCTCCCCCACGTGTCCTGCCTGACTGGGGCCAGGGGTCGAACTTGCAACCCAGGTACGTGCCCTTGACCGGAATCGAACCCGGGACCCTTCAGTCCGCAGGCCGACGCTCTATCCACTGAGCCACACCGGTCGGGGCGATAAAAATATATTTTAAAAAAGTGAAAGGACAAATAGATGAGGAGTCGTGCCGTCCAGGCCTGGGGCAGACCCTGGGGGTTGGAATACGATGTTCTTTCCGGGGACACGAATGTCCATGCGCAGGCGGCTGTGACGACTGGGCCCCACGCGACGGGCACGGGGGGTGGGGGGGGGTTGGGGGTCTGTGTGGCACCCAGCAGCTGGCACTGTGGCCAACAGGAGGCCTGGGACCCTACGGCCTGTGTCCCCCCGTCCAGCTCCCTCGGGCCACGCCGCGCCCTCCTTGGCGCAGACGGAGCCCCCTGGGCCACGGGGGCGGCAAACAGATGGCGCCCGTCGGCCGGAGCAGACACGGCGCATCCATCAGGATCCTC